GATATAAGTTTGCGAGGCGAAAGAGCTTTTCATGAGGTAGAAGTTGGTATGATATATTGTTCCCAATGGTTTCCGTTAGAGTTGGCCAACATTCCCAAGCAATATTCGAGCACACAATATCTAGAGATATAAAGTTAATTCTCCGAGACCATCAGGCAGGATAAATAGTACCGACAAATCTGGGGAAATACACGGCTTCCATTCAAAAGGTCCAGGATAGACGCCCAGTAAGCTTCACTAGGCTTGCGAACCCGGGTATAATCGGATAGCCGTAACACCTGAGGCACCAGCCCAGGATTCTCTCTATCACCCCAAGCTAATCCACCAAATCAAAACTCAGCTTTAGCGACACTTGTGAAATGAATTATTGAGTGGTGAGAAAAGCCTAACATACTGAATGGCCCGGTTCTATTCCCGTTACCCCAGCGCCAATATTGGCCATCGCCAATCTCGATCAAGCTGCAATTCGCAGTAGAGTGAACAGTATGGTTTGACAGCATGGCATAACCTTCCTTGAAATCCTTCAAGTTGTACGAATATTTAACTGTGTTTCCGCTCACATTCAGCGTAGTGTTTGACACTAGGAGATCGGATGACAAGTAGGGATTTATGTCATCTCCAATGCTAAAGCTAGCTTCCTTGCTATTAGCCCATTCCGGAGACTTGGCGTACTTCTGTAATCCACTCCATACCGAGCTCAAGAACGCTTATCAGAGATGTTAGTCGCGGTTTGCCACAACACCGAGTCTAGGTCGCGGTTTCCTTACCTTCCCCGCTAGTGTTGTTTACTGTGATACCTTTGGTCACGTTGGGGAATATCGGGTCAGTCCATAAAGCTGATTTCCAATCAGTCGCAAGGATTGGATACTCAATCCCTGTCTCATCCGCCATGTTGTAAGCCAAACCGAAAATCGCCACACTCAATCTTCCAACCACATTTGTGACAAGGTATGCAGCAACAATGAGGGTGGTTCGCGATATCCTCCACTCTCGAATGTGTCTCTTGATGAGCCGCAGCGAGCCAGCTGGTGGTGACATTCCTAGTATTGAGTCCACCTATCTAAACAGTCAACAAAAGCCTTTACAGAGGGGTAAGCTACCATACATCTTGCATTTTATATACCGTCCGGGCGAGTAGGGGCCACCTGATCATGGAGCCCAAATGCCCTAGCAGCGATCCAAGACCCAAACTGGCGATGGCGGTGAGCAGGATTGATAGTGCATTGAAGGACCGCTGCTCCCATTTGCTCAAAGACTGTGACTGGGAAAATACCCGAAGACAAATCGCAAGGAGGATCAGTGAGAAAAGGATCAGGAAGAATCTCCGAGCGAGTAAGATGCGGTTCCGGCGGGGTTGGTCATCACTGCTAAATGGTTTTAGTCGCAGTTTCTCGGAGCCTGCTATTACCGACTCCACATTGTTGTTGCTACCAGACGAAGATTTTAAGCTGTCAGAGCGCGTTGATAGTACCCGGCGATAGAACATTGTGCGAAGTGAGGGGAGCTTCCGAAATCACTGAATAGATGAGTTCGGGGTGCCCTCAGAGCCCAAATCCTAGATTTGGCAGCTTGTATAAATGGTGGCCCCAAGGCCATATAAGTTAATCTCTGAACCTGACCGAGGATGTGGAATACAAACTCCAGAATACTACTGGCTGCTAGGGGGCTTCACATTAAAAAAAAATGAAAATAATGAAACGCACGCAGAAGGCTAGCTTCTAATCGAGTAGCCTCCAGTTACTGCCGCGGTCAAGTTCAATTAACTATACCAAAGTACAATGGCACAATTTATCTCCACAGTTGGGCAAAAGTGTACCTATATGCGCTGGAGTATAGCGAAAACCCTCTCAAAGCATCTATCTATCAAGCCTCCTGCATTGCGCAATGTCTCTATTTGTAAGAGCAAGGGGTATTAAACAAGCAAAATGGTTTTTTGAAACACCCATGCTCAATCCCTATTAATTTTCTATTTATTTTTTCTGATCCTCCTCCCCCCATTCCACACTTCACTCTACAATAACATTTCCCGCACAAAACTGAAAAGAGTTCATATACCCCGATAGTTTTCTCACATATTCTATACCCCCGGTGGAGTTTTTGTCTTCAGCTCATAACTCTCCCATATTCTGCCGATGCACATATGTCACCGGTGTTCTGTTAGGCGATTCCAATCCTCGTAAGGCTCCATTATGGAAGAGGAGTTACTGAAGTGGCAGGCGATTGCTACCGGAACACAGAAGTGGCCAAACACTATGCTGGTACACTATCGAACCAGTATTTATGGCACGATACACCAAACTTGGGAATTAGGTGGAGAAATCCAATAGGCTGCAGAATCAAATTCCTGACATTCAGAAAATATTTTGTCTATTAAATTTACTTCCCCCATAAATATGGATACTTTACAATGCAACAGGCTTTGTATGATACACGCTTTAAGCGCTTTACTCCAAATGATACCTTTTATCATACCCTGTCTAATGGCTTCTTGGCCAAGCCAAATACGTCTCGCTCCTTCCTTTTCACCGCACTCGACGAGTGACACTACATGACTACACATCCCCGACTCCAGCTATTTTAAATTTGTTTTCGTGATCCTTCCAGATTCAATTTCCGAATTGCTTTCTCCCTCCTGGGACCTACTGTGCAACAGGTACTCCTCTACCACGAGCGTTCACGAACGTCAAGCTTTAACCTTTCCGCCCCCCCAATGCACAAAATTGAGACAATGGGTCTTTACACCCCCCGGGGCGAAACCATCTCCGAAATAGCTAGAGAACTGCACCACCCGCCACATGTGAACCCCTTTCAAAAAAAAAAAAAGCCGGCGCTTTGGGGTTCTCCTATCCTCCGCCCCCATCCTAATCGAAAGCATATTCCACAGCAGGCCAAAGCTCTACAGCGGCAGGGCGTTCTACCCCCCCTATCCCCTATAGGATCTACGGCTTGATACTCGATTATGTAGGGAGATAAACGCATAGCCATAAAAACACAACGACAGCACGATCACAATACACCTCCTGTTTTACGACGTCGACTTGATCCAAACCATCAACCAGAAAGGCTACAACGCACTCCACGCCACCGCATAGGCGGGTTGCAAAAGTGCCGTGCGAATCCTACCAGCCAACGGGCCGGTACAAGTCAACCGGGTGAGGGAAAAGGATATTCCAATGCCCCTCCACCTTGCAGCCCTGAACGGACACAAACCCGTGACAAAACTCCCCAAGCACAGCAAGCGCGTCAAGAACGAGCGCGAAATGCCGAGCCCGGGAACCCCTGCATCTTGCAGTACAGAAACGGCGCCGACGCCATTAGCATCCTACTAAACTATATAAAGCCACTCTTAGCGCCGAGATATCAATTAACCGGGGAGAACCCACGAGATCCCCCCATTACCGGTATATTCTGCAGCAAAGGCCGGATCGGTTGATGTTGTGCGAGTGCTCCGCAAGGACGAGAGAGCCCAGCTAAACGCCTTCAGCCATGGCACCGCGGACAAACCGGGCTGTCATCCTATGGGAGAGATCTGAACCTGTGTGGGCCAGACTGGAAACGGTGTTGCATATTGAGGCTAAGGGGGGGGACGCGAAGATGCGGCTGAGCCGCTACTAAAAAGGCGGCAGTTGGAGGTGGGCAAGATTCGGAAGGGGAAATCGGTTGAGGAGTGTTTTGGATGAGCGCCCGCCAGAGGCAGGAAAGCTATCTCTGCTCAGGCGCACTCTAGACCGTTTATCGCAAGAGGGGGTTGGAATAGCGGTGGAGGGGATGCGCTTGGTGGCTGGGAAGGTAGTGGGTGTTCTATGAGGGGGGATTCGACAAACTCTCTTGTATATAATACTTAGGGCGCCTCATAGATCGCATAGTTTATGGTACTCTGCGCTCAATGCTGGGGAGATAACCGATTAAATTAACCTTTAATTCCTAAAAATTAGGTATCTAGCTCTCGCCCTGTAGGCAGTCATTATGATAGCAGTGACTGGCACTCTTTGAATGGTCTTGATCATTGTTGTACTGGCTGAATATGGTCTCCATTGACGCTTTAGAGACCGCTCTATATCCTTATTGAAACCCTAGTAGGATGAGATTAGTTATCATACTACGCCGTCGAATGATATTTGTAAAGCTTGGGTCAATTCAAGCTCATACAGAATTCTTATCTAGACCCCTACAGCAAAGCAAAGCAAGAGATTTGCAGGTATTTAACATTAACTTTCTTACGCCCAAACTAACATAACAGGCCGCAATACTTAGCTATCTTATGGCACAGCAATTAAGGGCAATCCAAAATAAATAATAAACCTCCCCCCAGTCCAGCCCATAGCGAAATGAAGAAGCAAAATCCCCAAACCACCCGGCCAAGCTCCCGTAAATACATCCCGCCCCCATCACACCGGCCCATCATACCTACAACTTCGCACTCCCCCTCCTCCTACGAGAATGCCTCGTAATCTCCAAACACTCCTCCAAAAACTCCCTCTCCCTCCCACTCTCCCCCTCGCGAACAGTCTTCCACATCCCCTCGTACATCCGCCCATCCTCCCGCCCAAGTATACTCCCCGCCATCTCGAGCCCGGTAAATGCGAATGCGTCCGTCAACGAGACCGCGCTGCCAACATCCATCCTGACCAAAAGTGCTTCGTCCAACGCTCGCCTGAGCAATCTTGCCTGCGTAGCATTGATGAACCCACTCTCGAATAGCTCCGGCAAGCCAGCTACGAGCGTACTCAAACAGAAGATGTCGCAAAGCAGGCACAGGGCGTACGCACAGTCGTCAGGTAGGTGGTTGGGAGAGCTGGCACGGGTTACGCATTTCCGGAAGGTGGTCGCTACAAAAACGTCTGCATGTGCGGAGGCGATTCGGTGCGTGGTGTGTGTGTGTAAGGACCAGTTCTGAGGGGTAGAGGTTGATGAGAGGGAGGTGGAGAGTTCGAGAACTAGGTAGGCTGCGCGATGCTCTAGTGCCGAGAGTTGGTGGGTTGGGGAGTACCAATCGCCGGAAGTGTTTACGTTTGAGCGTTGGGTGTAGAATTGGGCCGGGGCTAGGAGGGTGTTTAGGAGGTAGGAGCTACTTGGGGGGAGGTGGTGTTCTGTTGGTGCTGACGATGAGGACGAGCGGGAGGAGGCTGAAGAGCGAGAGGAAGAAGAAGAGCGGGAGGAGCGGGAGGAGGTGAGGGATGTGGGGGACGAAGAGGAAGAGCGTAAGGCGGAGACATGCTTTAGGAGGGATCGAGTAGTTTGTTGGGATATTGCGTAGTTGTCTCCTTTTGTTCCATGTCAGGATAGTGGGATGGGGGAGTGAGGGGTGGTATTGTGAGGGTCTAGGACAAACCTTCATATGTTTGAGAAGCAGTAGCGTTTGCGAATAGTGGGCCAATACCACCCATATGAGAGTATCCATGACCACCCATGCATTTCCTTGCCTCTTCCAGCCCCTTTGCACAGTCCGTTGAGCTCTTGACCTTCAAAGCAATAGACAAACTATGCATCTCCGCCAACGACTCCACATTTCCCCGTTGAACAACCTCCTCCAGCATCTTCTGATACATGGCCCACAGTTCCCTCCCAGCGATAATGTATGCATAGCTCGACGCTAGCAGCGGGTACAATCTATGCTTAACACTAGCATACGTAATAACCGGCTGCTCCGGTCCACCAGGAGTGGCTGCAAACTGCCGTCTGTGAATGCAATATCTCAGAGCAATTGTTACAGCTCTCGCTAAAGACCACCCCAGGTTCACTGGAATGCCAGCCCGCAGTGCAACCATGCTGCCGAAGGAAAGTTTGTCGTGTGCCGGTCGGACGTACTCCCCCGTGAGCGTGACTTGCGCATGCCGCATAAGCATGTTCTCCCGGGGAATCCGGACCTCCCGGAATTGCACATAACCGTTATCCACCATGCCAAACCCCCCATACGCCTTCGGCCCAATGTCTCCGATCGTAATTCCCGGTAACGGCTCGTGCGTCCCCAGCGAGCGAACCGGGACAATGAACAAGTGCGGCCCGTACGATTTGTATTCTAGTGGGTTCGAAGGCAACGGCAAGTATAGCACGGCCTGCACAATTGCATGATTCGCCACGACTCCCAATCCTCCAATCCACCACTTTGTACTCTCCAGCCTTGGTGAGGAAATCACAAATTCTCCTGAGGTGACATCGAACCTCGCAGCCGTTTCCAGCTCCTGTACGTTACTCCCATGCGCCAACTCCGTCTGTGCATAGCAGCCGATGACTTCGTAGCGTTTACATCTTGGTAGCCAATACGCTTGCTGCTCCTGCGTTCCTTGACTTGCGATAACCGGGACGAAAGCCGCGTCGTGAAGACTGGTCGGGAGAGACTCATCCTGCAAACGACAGGCGAGGGTAAACTCGAGATCGGACCATCCATGCGCGTCGCGGAGCTCCAGCAACCGTTTGAAGATGCGCAGAGAGAGATGAAGGAGTTGACGGTGGTTGAGGTGTGGTCGTAAGGACTTGTCGAATATCCTGTCGTTGCTGAGGATACTTGCTATGCGGATTCGGGTCTCGCGGTAGCCCGGGTCGAATAGGAGGTTGCCGACTTTGTACGAGTCGATGGTAGTGTCGGTGCGTATGGCGTCGAGCGGAGTCGGCATCTTGTTTGGTTGAAAGCACTTGGAGTTGTTTTCTGTTTGGTTGTGAGATTTGGCTCGGGTTCAATTGGCGATGGGACTGCCAGATTGATGAGTTGGCGTTACAGTAGTGTTCACAGGGTGATTTTACTTGTACAGTACTCGTAGGATGCGCGCTGCGATTGGATGACCGGCAGTGTTGAGGCTTAAGGTTGATGCTACCCGGATGGCAACCAGACCACACGTACACTCCCCCCGATCATGGGTTGGACAATAGTTGGGTCCATTGCCGAAAGGAGATGTGGTATTTAAATGTAGACTAAACCAGGTTAGGAAATTCGAGTGATAACTAGTGAGTATTTTTGGCGTCGGCAAAAAGTCAGGTCCACTTCGGAAAAGAACCCGGGAAAGAGCTTAGGAAAAGGGGCGTGTATGAGTGATATACTATGAGTACGGTCAGCGAAGAAAAAAAGTCTGCATACATTCGGCACGCGCAGAGAATTTTCATCGAGCATACCCCATTTCCAGGCATATCTCATTCCAGCAAAGCAATAATGTTCCTGTCGCATGTCCTGAAAGTCCTCAATCGCTGCTTTTTTCGGCACTATGAAATACCGGCCGGCAGAGGGAACGGTGAGCATCTGGGCATCATCGTGGAAGGTAGTAACCTCAAGAGGTTCATCTCGAGTGGCTTTGCCATGTTGAACAAGTATGATATGATAGCCCTCGCTGGATGACTTTGGCTGCTTGAATGATATTATGTAGGAGAGACCCGGTGTATTGTGATCTTATCAGTCTATGTTACCGTACCGAGGTAATGAACCCGTGTAAAATTGCCAGTACTATAGAAGGTGGAAGATCTTGGCACCCTCTATCTTGCACCCCCCGTCTCGCACCAACGTAGGTATGATATCTCACCTCACCAACCCAATTAACATGTTTTATAGAGTAAACAATAGGGGAATTTCTTACCCATAGCAGAAACTTTACACGGAATCTGTTTGTATCTCCTCTCCTTTGCACTCTTAAACTGCATTGGTGAAAAGTTCTTGTAGATATACCGGTAGCACAATTGCCATTATGATAATAATATTATCATTATAATTGTATCTTTCATAACATAAAGCTCTCATACTATAAATTAGAGGTATCAATTATCCAATGGCCAAACATTGGTGGAACGTTATTGACAACTTTTTTTAATACCAAAAAAATTGTAAGGGGACAAACCCCCATGACTCTGGTACTCTGATTCAATCACCAATGTTTTTATTCATATCGATAAACACCCATAAAGATACTTCTTGCGGAAAATTGGGTGGTAACCAGATCTGCCACCCATTGCTTGCAGTTGCACGATTGCGCTGTACTATACCCTATCTCTCAAAATGACTACTCTATTTGAAGAGTATGTCCATATAAGGTATTTCATGACTAATTTGACCCCTAGAGGAAGATGAATTTACACTATCGTCAGAACTAGAATGATTAAACCTTATCATACATAGCCTTACAATAAGAAGTCCAGAATTCACCCTTTTAAATATAAGGGAAACACCCCGAAAAGGAAAACTAGCTGTCCGCCCTCTGCCGGGACAAATAAAATGAAAAAATGTTGTACGCTACATTAGACCTCCCTAGTAGAAGCAACTCCAACATGTTAATGTGAGGTCCGGTTACTCCCTTAAGTCAAGATATCTTCCCAGGAGCCAATTACTGTGAATATACATTCCCCAGACTGTACTGCTTCCGCGTCCGCAGATAAGGGGAGCGATAACCTGTGACATCAGCATCGATTTTCCTCGACTCAACACAATAACCTATGATATTATCTATCCATTGATATCATACAACAATACTGATTTGCCTCCTGCGAAATCCGTCTCTCAACGGTCCTCTTCGTCATGGCTCTACCATTCTTAATCAAAATTCTCTCACATCCAGGTTTGGCTATCAACCCCGGAATCCCAATATCTCTGCTTCCCAATCCAATTGCCATTAAACCCGCCTTACCTCTAACCTTGACTTCGACTCCCAATCTATACCGCCCTTCATCAGGTCAAATTGCAGCCCTCGCCTTGGTAGTTGTGCATTCATGGACGCCAAAAGTTAGCCTTTTTAACCCCCAGCAAGTGCGAGGCAAAATACCAGCAAAGTCAAAATATCTACTTCAGGACCCTACCTGATACACTCACCAACCCGTGACAAGCCGCCTAGCAAATCAGCTCCCCTAAGAGGCTTAAGCTCACCTATCACGTTACTCACAACTACAGAGTAATCCACAGAGTACTATCTTATCCACTCTAGTAGTGAAATGGTCACACAAGGCGGGAACCCACCACCCTCTAAAGGGGGCTGGGATTCAAGCCGACCCATCATGTACAGGTCGCTCACCTACGAAGTGTACCGGCAATGATCGGGATAGTGCCTTCCCGGATGTGGTGGTTAACTTAAGTTGTAGGGTGTGGGAATAGAGAGGTGGATGCAATAGAAAAAGGTTATACGAAGGTGTGGAGGACATGAGACATGAGAGTTTCCCAGCCACGTGTTTCTCAGTGTTTTGGAGGCGCTGGGCAGTGTAGAGGGGCGGATGTTTTGGGGATCGTATGTACTGGAAATGTTAGGTTCTGGGTGCAATAGGGGGTGGGGGATAAGGACGGTTGTGCGTTGATATGAGGATCTAGATGTTTTTGGTGGAGCGTGTCTATTGCTCGTTACCTGGAGAGTGACCAGAGGGGAGAGGATAAAGAGGGGAAAGGGACCAAGATCAACTATCCAATTAGATTTAATATTCTGCTGCAAAGTGATCTACAAAGCCTCCGCATATAGCGCACTCCCAAGAGCGTGAGCCCCTTCCATATCAGACGCCTAAAACAACAGCCTTCCTCGCGGCCACTCCCCCACCACAATCTTCAGCGAACACCGGTTCCTCGGAAAAAACTACTAGATCAACCACCACCCACAACTTACAATACCCCTCTGCCCGGATGGCCCAATACTCACTAGTAAGTTGGTTGTCCCAAATACCGCTCCCCTCATCCCCACACCCCTTCTTAAACCGCAATCTCCACTCATCCCACTTCGGCTCCACAAAGACATCCACCTCCACAAACACCCTCATAGCCGTGACCTCACAGCTCGCACTCCCCTCAACCAAACTCTCACCCCTCGCATAAAACTCCTCAGCATTGAGGAACATCTTAGCGCATACGGTAATTTCTATGGCCGCCTCATAACCCCCCGCGATAGCGGGCGGGCACTGGCGCATGGAGTAGGATTTAACAATGTGAAGATGCGAATGGCGAAAGCTGGCGAACAGTACGCCATGGTTCCCGTTGATGTTAGACTCATACGTTTGTCAAGATGTGGAGGGCGGGGAAAGAGAAGTGGTGACTGAGGTTATACTGCCGTTTTTCTATGATTACTGTGTGTGGTCCTGAGAGATCTCTGTCTGCTAGGTGGACGTTGTGGATTGCGTGGGGGGTACCGCAGTCTATTTTTCCGTTGTTCCCTAAAGAAGTGGTTCCCCGGGCTGGTTTCAGTGGTGGTAGGACCAGAATGTTTACTGCGCAATTTATTGTTATAGACTCCCCGGGGTTGCCCCTGATGAAGTATTATAGTGAGGCCGGTGTCATTTTCGGTATCCCGAGTTGCTGCTTGTATTCTAAATTTAGCCGCGAGGAGCGTTTGCCGGTAATAAGGTAGTTTACTGTACTAGTACAATACTACCGGAATGTGACGAGTGCGGTCTTGTGCGGCAAGGCAGGTCCAACCAGTACTTATATGGACTAACCATCAGCTGGGATTATTTCAACCATTTGTTTATTCGGCTATTTGTTTGGTAGGAGAGTAACGGCGGCCAAACGTTGGAGGGTCATTTACCATACAGAGGTTTCCGTGAAAATTTGGGAACCAATGCGGTTCCGCTGCCAGCTGTGATCTCCGGTGGACTAGTGTTATGTCATGATTTGTGAGGAAGCGGAATCGCGATGCTTTGTGTGCCGCTTTGCCATTTACGGACATTTTAATCTCCCAATCGCCAATGTAGGAAATTGCGAAGGGCGGCTACAGTCCTGGGTACTTGTAGTAGGACTTGCGCGTGGTATGATGAACGGGCAGCACACGCGGTTGGTGATGGGCCATCGGTGTCGTTACTGCGCTGCTACAATAACGGCCCATATTTTTATTGACTTCACGTGACTTGAAGATCAAAGGTCCCGTCCCTTCTCTAGGCTCTAGTGTGGGGAAGAAATCGCCTGACATGATACATCCCCTCGTTATGCTTTCGCCAGCGCGCTTAATAGTGACACCGGGAAGGAACTCTCTAACAATACGGTATCTCGCTGGTGCAAATGTGACCCTTCGTATAACCCGACTACACTCGTCAGGATCGAGGAACATTTCCACTGTATGGTGCTCACCCACTCACCCATACTTGTACTATTGCCGTGCCCCCACTTTCATCACCATCCGCAAGCACAACCTCCTCCCACAAACCGTCGGCTTCCTTCCGACATTCTAAAATAACCAAATTATACCGCAAGCAGCACCAAACCGCCAGAGCACAGCCACCAATTAGCTCCCGTTTACCACCTCTTCCCTTCGTCCCCTCCCCTAGCCGGCGAGCTAGCGAGCGTTCCCGGCAAGAGCATCGTGGTAATCGTTCCTGTAACGCTTGTCGAGACTGGCCGTCGGCCGTTCCGCTCAGCCATATTTCTACGATATCGCCTCAATACCCTGAGGGCAGGAACTGTATGTACCCTAATGCCTCAACTACTCTTGTGACCCCCGGATACTCGCGTTCTCTCGTGGGCGGGACCAACGGTGGATATGATGGCTCGGAGTAGTCGATTTAAGGTGGCTGCCCGCTGCTCAACGATACACTAAAGTTGCGGGGTGCGTGCCAGTGTTTTGACCGCCGCTGTGAGTTTAAGCTTATAGCGGCTGGTGGTTACAGTGAATTGCCGTATTCAAGTATAGTATCGTACGAGCACTCCTGTACTGATATCATACGAAAGCTGGAACCAAATTATGATAGATGTTGCTCGGATGGCTTGAGGCAATGTGCAAGGGGGTTAAGGCTAGACATTTAAGCCTCCTCATATTCCAAGTGTGGTATCGTGTAATGGGATTGTACTAGTGTGGGAATGGTGGTTTTTTAGTGTCTCTGCCCTAGTGCAGGTACAGCACACAGCACCATACAGGTTTGATACTATAAGTATAGGGAATACGGTAGTAGAATCATCGGATTTCTGCCCTCAAACCTCGGACCCATGAGGCCCCCGAGCAGGCCCCAGATATGAACTCAGTAACTAAGCCCAACATATCATACCCCAGGGGACAATTCCTACCTTCACCGAGTATGGCACTTTCACAAAGTCCGCATAACACGCCGTACCGATAGTACAATAATGCAAGATTCCATTTAGGTAAATTTCATCCAGTAACCTTCTTCGAGCATGTCCTACGGGGTGATTGCGTCCGGGAACATTGTACCTTGGGCAGGGGCCAAAGGACGACATGTATCAATGACTCCCGTTGAGTATCGTGAGAACCCCGGTGATTCGCTATCCCCGGACAGACTCTAATCTCCGGGTTCAGAGACACAAGCTCTTGAAAAGGATTGGCGCTTTCTCGGCACGGTGCTGCCGGGTCTCATTGACTGGTTTTCGCAATTCCGTCAAATTTACCAAACCAAACTCATCGAGGTCTAATGGCGTAATTTCCCACTGATAATTCGAGGGGTCGAAATTTTCACCACCGTACTAGTACAGTGCAATGCGCTTGGCAATACCGTAAACCATTCGAATTCCATCAGGGGAATAACCACCGATAAAAGTTAAACCTTGGCAAAGAATTCTCTCACCTTCTGCCCTTTTTTAATCAGAAATTGTGGAAAAAGTTTAGACCCTGTCGAGCATGCCCAGTTCAGCACAGTAAGTTACTATAAGTGACAAACCCAGAAATATCGCAACCGCAGATAATAATGGAATATATTCCGAAAAAAATTAAATGGCGTCTCTCCAGAAAAATTGGTGTTCAGCGATGCAATAGATTTTTTTAGAAATCTATGCCCTTGATGCAGATCTTATCTGAATAATTCCTATTTGCCCTAAATCTGGAGCGCAACGCCGCCTCACATTTTGATGTGAATTGCTTAGAGATATCATAGATAATATCATAGAAGTTTTACCGAAAGATAATCATAGGAATTGTGTGTGATTCTTCCCGCCTGTCTATTATACCCGTATACAAAACGAAACACCCAAGGTTTGCTGTGATAAGTTACATGCAGGGACAGTACCGTACTGTAAATTATTTCTCAATAATCATAATTTTTTTTTGATAATGCTGTAGAGGCATCCAATAATTTCCAGCCTTCCCTGCGGCCACCTCACCGATGGAGCGAATCATCGATATCCCTTCCATTTCCGGTTCTAAAGCCAAACTCGTTCGATTCCGCCAGAATTCCGCTGGGACCCAACTCTCAGAGCCTTGGCGCCAACGGGAGTTTTATCTCTTTGTGGAGGGATAATACCTGCAGTGCTGTCACGGGTACAGTGCGCACAGTTATTGGACAACTCAACATCTCTCGGTTGGCTTGTCCGGCGAATTTTAAGGTATCTACACTATGGGGGGGAAGGGGGGTGTTCAGCATTCCTCACCTCTCGTTCTTGCCAGTCCTTGAATACCGTTCTTCCGAATGCTGGGACAAGCAGAGCATATGGTACCGGCGTGGGATAAGCAAACCAGGAAACCATTCTCGACATTCTCGAGATGGGTGGATGCTCACTGGCTCGGAGATCTCTAGCCCGATTCCCGCATGCCAGAAAGAATTGAAAGGGGGAGAGAATGAATGAAGCATTTACAGGGACCGCCGTTTCCCTACGCAGAGGGAAAGACAGCAAGGCAGGCAGATGCAGGTACTGTACTGTACAACGGGTGACCTGCACTACCGCCGGTATACTAAAAGTGTGGTCCGCCACATGCTGGTTGAACATATCGAATCTACTTTATTTCCACGTTATTTTCTTGATCGCTCAATTGACACACACTACCGCTAAAATCAATATCCTCGCACACTTTACTGTGCAATGATTCACCGGAGAGCTACATGGCGCCGGCACCTGGATTGGCAAGGAAAGCTGTTCCCCGCAACGAAGGTGTCCAATATAGGCCCTGGTATTGCGTAGATACCCCACCATCAGGCGAAATCACTCGGATGGCACGGCGAGATGTTTGGCTACCGGTACTGAATTGGACGCAACCCTCCGCTGGTCGTTGTAGGTCGAGACCGCTGATCACTCAACAACTTATCATACCTTATAAAAAGGGCGGGGGCAGTGGTCCCCACTAGGGTTTCTTGATCCCCACCGACGTTTCTATCCACCCCTCCCCAGTGCTATCGCCGTCCCCTCAATTCCTTACGATGAAGTTGTCTACCGGTATCTTCCTCATTTTCTCGCTCGCCGGCGCAGCAGTGGCCACTCCTCTGGCTCCTGCCCCCACCCACAATGTTAGTCTTGTGGAGTCGAAGAAATTGAGGCGCGTTTTGAACAAGAAGGCCCTGTATGAGCACGCGAAAGAGTTTCAGAGTTTTGCGGACTCCACACCTATTCGGAATCGTGTTGCTGGCTCCGCGGGTCATAACTTGACTGTGGATTATATTTATGATACTCTTGTGGCCACTGGGTACTATAACGTCGAGAAGCAACCCTTTACTTATGTCTTCTCCGAGGGGAATACTTCGTTCTCTGCCCTGTCAACGACATACCCCTCGGAATTCATGACCTACTCGCCGTCAACCGGAGGATCTACTCTAACGGCCCAGTTGGTTAAGGTAGCAAATCTTGGTTGTGACCAGGTGTGTTCAAAGATTTTCTCATTGTGATAATTTTCGCACTAACCACCAAAAATAGAGCGACTACCCCGAACTTAAGGGAAAGATTGCTCTGATCTCTCGTGGGGACTGCGAATTCGGTTTGAAGGTTGCCCGTGCAGGAGCCGCCGGAGCCGCCGGAGCCGTCATCTATAACAACTTACCTGACCTGATTGGTGGTTCAACTCTCGGCGAGCTCACCCGCCCAGAAGGCCCTTATGTTCCCGTAGCAGCTATCTCAGGGACCGACGGAACTGCTTTGGTCGCTGCTATTGGGGCTGGACCTGTCAAGGGTAGTTTGCTTGTCAACTCTATCAATGAAGTCAGATACACCAGCAATGTCCTCGCTACTTCCAAGGGGGGGGATCAGAACAACATCGTCATGTCTGGAGGTCACACAGATTCTGTTACTGCTGGCCCCGGTATCAATGACAACGGTTCCGGATCTATCGGAAATCTAGAGATTGCGCTACAACTGACCAAGTGGTCAGTCAACAACGCTGTGCGCTTCGGTTTTTGGTCTGCTGAGGAATTCGGGTACGTTCAAATTCTTTGGGTCCTGCGGACGTACCCCAAATTAACGTAAACTCGCAGCCTCATCGGATCTAGATATTACGTTGAGACCCTTCCTGAAGCCGAACTTGCCAAGGTGGCCCTGTACCTCAACTTCGACATGATTGCATCACCCAACTTTGGATACTTCCTTTACGACGGCGATGGGTCTTCCTTCAACACCACCGGCCCCCCAGGATCTGACGCCATTGAGCACCTCTTTGAGGACTACTTCCAGAAGCTCGGGCTCCCAACCCGGGCCAGCGATTTTGACGGCCGCTCGGACTACGCCCCGTTCATGGAAGTTGGAATCCCCATTGGCGGTATCTTTACAGGAGCCGAGGGAAACAAGACTGCTGAGGAGGCAGCGCTCTGGGGCGGAGAGATTGGTGTTGCTTGTAAGTCATTGTGAAACCTGGCAGTTTTATGCTCACGAACTAACAAACTTGATATACAGACGACAGAAACTACCACAAAGCCGGCGACAACATCGATAACTTGAACCTGGGCGCTTGGATCCAGAACACCAAGGCGGCTGCTCACGCAATCGCGACATACGCTAGATCCACAGAAACCATTCCCAAGGGCACCACCTCCAAACGTGTCAAGCGTGACATGGGACACACCATTCCCGGGGCTTGCGGATGTGCGCCTCTTCATGTCGCTTAAGGGAGAAAGTCGTCCCTTGTCTTTATTATTATTATTATTATTATTATTATTATTATATTATTACCTTTTCAGTAATTTGGAAAGGAGCAAGCATGAATGGATAGAAACAACAAGAAAAAATAAATGTTGGATCTATGGTTTATGTACTATACATGAATAGAGAATATCAGGAGACTTGATGGTGATGATGATAAAAGATATTTTGACTTCGAGTAGCTGAGTACCGTAGCTGAGTGTCCGAGTTAGAGTTAAATGTTTTTTGCACTGTGCTGGTACAGTACTAGTACCGGTAGTCGGTTATCATGGAAAAGTGCACTATTATCTCGCACAAGAATACCAGTACAAGCACTTGTACTAGTACTAGTGCACCTTTAAACTTCGGAACAGTTCACCGGCAGTCTGTCTACTAGGTTCATGCCTGGACCGAGCGTGGCACTGCGGTGACCGCGACCAAAGACGGGCATGTAATAGCAGGCAGACTGCATTCTAGTAACAGAAGGGGCGAGTCTGCTGCCAGAATCTATACTTACTATCGTAGCACCTCGTGGGTATGATAGTACTCGAGCACGGCCCCGGGTTAGCCTAGATTTAGAGATTGGTGGTGGCTTCTGTGTGAAAGTATCTTCAATTTTCTGTCGCGCAGGTGCAATGTAAGTATTCGATTAATATGGGGGGATTTTTCCCTGAAGAGCATACCGTACAGGATGTCATTACTAGAAGCCGCGGGGGGAAGTGTGTACTGTAAGCCCCCACTGCGATTCCCTGAATTGGGTGAAGGACTTCAACGGGGCTATTTTGTAGTATAGAGCCACAATAGATTTAATACGGTAAATATGGGTGCAAGCCACTCCATAGTAATGGGGGTTACACACTTTCCCCCCTGCCGTAGACTGTTGCTCCTGGCACAACGGTACTGTACCGTGGTTGGGGGACGTCGTCACTGGCATCTTTAGGCTATCAGTTGGCCACCTGCAACGTGGTTTGGTTGGTGGCTTTTGGGGACGTTGATAGAATACTCGTAGAAACGCCGTAGGACAAATATCGTTAAGGGGGAAGGTTCGAAAAGAGATTCTCCATAGAACTGGCCGAGAACCAAGTGATTCAATAGTACTCATAAAAGATTCTCCAAGAACTTGTTCGCCCTAAGTGGATTACTAGGTTCTAGCTGTCCTGCACCGTGCCGTGTAAATAAGCATCAATCGTTTAGTATTGTGTCTTCGCTACTCAAATCCGACAAGCAATTGACTCGAATAAACTCTCACGGACTAAGTCACGTGACAAGGCTAGGCAAATTTTCCTTTTTCTTTTGTTCTTGACTGTCAGAAATGGGCCCTTGATCTCGAACGCCCTGATCTTGAAGGCGGGGATGGCGTTGGGCACTGTGCAACCGTGGTGAGATCTACCTTAACCCGTTTTATTGTCTGTCCTTGTTACGCGGGATTGTGCCGGTATTTTGGGCACCGTACTCGTTCGTGCACCGGTATCACACAGTACGTAGGAGGAATTCTACCGTCCTGATGCATTTTTCAAAATTGGGGTGAAGATGTGATGACGCATTGTACTCGAGTAGTTAGGCTGTCGTGAATTCTATGGGAGAGAGAAGCTGAGTTGGAGGCTTTTTGTTTGGTGAGGCTTTGTCTTGATTGGGGTCAGATTCCCCGGCTTGCTGCTTCCTTTTTCTCCTCCCCTTTTTCACCTTCATCGGATCGTTGACGGGGAGAATTGAAACCAATATTCCTCTGCTCATAATCAATCTATTGATTGATCGATCGATTGATCCGTCGATTTCTACTCATTAAAATTTTTTTTGTTTCGCCATTTTTCCTCCCTCTTCCGCTTTGCCCTTTGCTAGTCTCCTCCATTCTTGCCCTGTCTGTGTTGTCTGTGTTGTCCTCGCTTGCTTGCTGGCTTTCCATTCTCGTTCCTGCGTTGCGACCGCCTTTTTCGTCGCTCCCAACCATCGACACACTCGACTCACGGCTCCAACAAACAAACCTTCCCCTCACTCAACCTCGTTCCACCATCGTCAGACGTTTGACAGTGTTAGCGTATAGTTGCACCACGCTGAGAATTCTACAGCTCCTCAGAAACATATATTTTCACGCTCGTTCAGTGGGTCATAATGGGCACTGTGAGTGAGCGTAATCGTCTTCCCACTTTGTTCGAGGTTCTCAGCAGGAGAACTTTGCCGCCCGTGGATTTGTTCTCGTTTTACATTTACATGAGGGATCAGCAACGCTCTGTGGATTATCTAGATTTCTGGTATGTCACCTGTGAGAAGAGGGGGGTGGGCAGGAGGAGGTGTCCTGATGTTCGGCTGTTGATTGGGACGGTGGCTTGGGATTCTCGCTAACGTATGCTTTGTCTTCCAGGCTCGACGTCGCCCAACATATTTCGCTCTGCCGACACTATGTCCGTGAACTCCGCCGAAGTGTACTGGTCTCTACGCCCGATCTGGACAAAGGCAGCAAGCGGTCTTCTGGAGCTCCAGAAGACCTCTTAGTTGATGAGAATTATGAACAGAAGAGTGATGACCAACGGCTCTCCGCTTTCCTCCGCTCCGAAGGCACGTCCGAGACTCCCGTCCGCCGCTCCGTGGGCGACACGCTGGAAACTCCAGGAACAGGTCGCCCATCGCTCATGTCCTCCTCCGCCCTTGATCCCAATACAGACTCAACCTCCCCTGGCCACACGGTTACAAGGAATGATCTACGCGCTTCTGCTGAAAAGATCCTATACACTTTCCTTTTGCGGGGCGCTGAGCGCGAGATTGTCCTACCGGAAGTTATCTTACAATCTATTGCTAATGCGATTGAAGTGGAGGCGCGAGACGATCCCGCCATATTTGATGAAGCAAAGGACTATGTTTTCCAGGCAATGGAGCGGGACGCCTTCCCAGGATTTTTGAGAGCAAAAGCCCTTGGAAATCTCGTACCCCCTAGTGCTACCCTACGTTTGATCGTAGGCCTCCTAGCCATGTTTGGTGGTTTCTGGGCAGCTTTTGCACTCATCTTCTTGGACATCAAGCCGAAGAGCACTAGATTATGGGTTTGTCATAGATTTCCCAATCTAAACCTCCGTACCACCATCATAAACTAATACATTAAATAATTGCAGCTTATCCTCCCTTTCTCAATCGGCATCTACTGTCTCATGGCCCACCAGTACTCCCTAGATCCCATAATGGGCCTGATAGGCATTAGCGAGTACACCCTCATGTCTTTCACTCGCGTCAAGGAACCTTTCGTCCGTCGCTTACTCAGCAAGCGCTCTTTGTGGATCCTTATGCTTACTATCCTCATGGTCGCGGCGCTGACGTGCTTGTATGTGTTTGTGCCGGGGAAGAGGTTATGATCGATCGGTTGGCTTAGTTTGGTCGGAATTTCTTAGGTCTATATCAGAATTCTGTCTCCGCGTGTTGGTTTGTTAGCAGGGGGCTCTTTATCGTGAACAATTATTTTTCCTTTTTTTTCTTTCTCCTGTGATATCCTGTCCTACTAAAGCCCTTTCATCTGTTGAGGGTGGGTTAGTTAGTGTTGAATGAGCGAGTGCGGAGTGGGGGAAGGTTTGTGTTGTAATATCTTTTTTTTCCTTCTTTTCTTCTCGTGAGGGTTTGATCTACTGTTTGATATGCAGTCGGAATTGCGGGCTGTGGGTTGATAGATTGATGGTCAGCAAGGAGAGTGCGGTAGAGGGGTGTCTACGTAGCATTAATCGCCCTTCTTTTGTTATCATAGTTTTGCGCGGTGCAATGGTGCTTGCCTTCTTACCCACCACTAATCACCCTTTCTTGTCTGGTGTCTAGATTTACGTGCATCGCGGCGTAACGGATTGAGAGGCTACTTAATTCACTCTCCGAAACAGACCTCCACTCGAAGCTTGTGCACGTCTCAATCGCAGGGGTCGTTCTACTACGGCGTGGATTATCTCTACGAAGTTGTCGGATTAAGATACTATAATTGCGCTGTGGTGTCGTGAGATACTCGAGTATGTATCTTAAATTTTGGCAAGTATGATATCACACATTCGGGTGTGGTGGTGACCGAACGGCTAGGGACCAGTGGTACAGTATGGTGCCAAAGCTTCCCGCAATTTACATGCCAAACCCATCGTTTTATTCCCTATGATGGTAGAACGATTGGGGCTCTATAATATCTATCTGCCCCGTTACCCACGTCCTGTCCGAAAATGAAAAGAAAATGCATCATTATAATATTATTATCATACGATTACTTGTATAGTAAGGTATCATAGAGCAATGGAAAGTTAACTGTTCTTGTGCGTGCAAAACCTAGACTAAACAGCAAGGCGGTCTAGGGCGCTGTTTTGCGAGACGACTTTTGTAAGGTTTGTATTGTTTGATAACGTGTTGTTTGAAAGTCAGAACTCGCGGGCCTTATAAAATAGAGATTGGAGAAGGCATAATACTCGGGGGGGGTTTTTTTTCAGGCAGATACGGTGGTTAAAAGGTCCGCAATTGTCACAGAATCTTGTTTAATAGGGCTCAACCAGAACTTATGAGTGATACATGGTGCAAGAGGATGGATTGAAAATAGCCGTCCACTTTCCCCGGCGAAAGCCTACTTGCACATTGTCTCCCCTCCAGTCAACCCGGCGCAATAAATTACGCTACCCAAAAGGAGAGGAGACTACTCCGCCAATACTACAATAAAACTTTATGCAATTTTCCGTATCCAACTGGTTACCGAAAAAACATCACAAATTCGGAACCCTGTTGAGAAAGTGTACTATAGAAGGGACACTGGTATGCGCAGCGACTTACTTGGAGGGGGGGGGGGCAACTAGGACGTCCTATCATGGCACGTTTTTCGCCTACTTGGTTTTTCTTGGGGGGGGGCAGCGTGCCAATTCCGCGAGGGCACTTGGGATTTGCTGTCTGCGTCTACCCGGGTGGTCAGGTTGGGGGGATTGAGTGAACCGGTTCAAGAGATGCAGCGCGTCCGAGGGGTTATCTGATCTTGTGCCTTGGGCGGAAAGCACTAACCTTCACAGGGGCTTTTATCTTTGAGTCGGGTGGTTAGTGGCGCACTGGAGGTGAAAAATTTCAAGGCTTGTTTACCGTGTGGAGGTATAGAGTGGTCATGGGATCTCACTCGATGAGACAAATGCTCTGAGTGAAGTGAATAGAGAATTCAGTAAGAAGTTTTGGTGAAGAGTTTTAGGCACGATAGAACGAGAATGGATAACCGTTAGTTGACTTGATCTTTATCCGCCTATACCCAAGGTGGATGATAACTATGTACTATGAAAAAGCCCATCCTCGCATATCTCAGTCAGATCTTGGTGGCTCCAACCCATCCTTTCCATAGCACTCCTCGCTTCTCACAATACCGCTTATCGAATGAACCCTGTAACCACACCGCTCCTCACGTAAGGCTGTCAGGAAGCCCCTGACAACCCCCGCCACATTACAACACTGAGAGTTTGATGGTCCCATAAGAATGGCAACTTGGGTTGACTTCTTGGACCCTAGTGGATTTTCGATAAAGAGTATCTGGTAAATAGTGCAGTGCTAGGGCGAACTGGTAAAATCAGAACTTGGAAGGGATGTGAGGGAAGAGTGGTCATAAACCTTGTTTTTTTTCGCTAAGAGTGCTGTGATACCAGTAGTCGTGGAAAGGAGAGGAGTATAATGTAATATACAAAACATATTGAAAGCGCCTTAGGCCTTTTCACGCATCGTCGCGCACTTTTGGAGTGACGAGGGAGGGGCCTTTACTATCGTGCCGGTATTCCCGAAACATGGGGAAGCTTCAGTGGTCGATACTAGTGGATTAACTCGGTGGGCGGAGTGATGGCGTGCAGGGCCTGTGGGTCGTGGGTGGAAGAGAGATGGATAATAGTATAATATATTAGGTTTTTGTGGGAGAGGTATCTTCGATCTCCTAGAGAGGGGTGTGTGTGTGTGATCTTTCCAGTTCCTACGGTACGGTGTGATACGGTGAAAGGTTTTTTTGTGGAGTGCGGCGATGAGCTGTTTCGTTTGGATTGGGATTTCCCTTCTCCATGCTTAGGTGGATTGGCCTCGGGTGGTGATGAGTTATGATAGTTGTGCCGTGCTCGAGTGTGATACCGGTAGGGTAAAGGGTTTACTGAGGTCAACTGCGGTATGGTAACTCAAGGTATGGTATAGGTACAAGTATTATGATAAACTACGGTAGAGGCGACAGTTGCGCCGTCAAAGACTCTAATTTAGTGCTAAACAGATCCTCGGTCGTGTCTGTTTCTGTTGGAATATTGTCCCTGAGTTTCAATCTCACATGTTCTATTGGTTTCCTATAAGATATTCACGAACTTTCCTTTATACCTTACTTGATGTTTGAAACTGCCATCACCCTGTTGTCTCCATACTGTTTCCTTTCAGTCTCCTTGCAGTAAAAATTTCTCTCTTGTTTCTTTCCTGTTTCTTTCCTGTTTCAGTGGGACAAGACTTTTGTCCCCCTTACCGGAGATGAAAATTTTCATCCACACAGGCACCGAATTGGATGTGGATCATCTTGTGTTAAAAGGGCCTTATTATCTACTTAGAAATGATATGTGAATTCAGACCTTTCAATCGTGCGCCTAAGAAAACTCTTCCTGGATTTTATCTATCATTCCTACCTATACTTCTGCCTCTTCTCATCGCCGAACACTTTATTTTACTTCAGTTTCTGGTGCTGACAAGGGCAGGCACACCATCCCCCACCTGTTCGCCAGTCCGGGAGATGCCATAATTGCATGAGATTTAGCGTATCTCATTGGCGCCGTTGGCGAGTAACTTACCCGAGTGCGGTACTCGAGTAGTGATGGCAATATTAGCGGTGTTGTTTTATATGTGTGTTTTGATAGGATGCTTGTATGCGGGTCTATCATAATCACCCTATGGTGGGGGATTCCTTGGATAGCGACATTGGCCCTGGCTTTCTATTGGTAAGTTAGATCTTGGTTAACTGGCAATGTTCCCGATTACCAGCTGGTTAACTCAAGGTCTTGGCATATTGACAGGTGTATTAACTGCCATTTTGTTTTAAGCCCCAATAAGCTCATATTAAATTCACTACTATTGTCTTGTTCCCTGGCTTCTAGTCTATGATTCAACAACGTTGTATTTGGCATAGGTTGTTGGGGAGTGTTCGCGATTCAAAGTATCGGTGGGGCGAACTTGGACGCAGAGGTACCACCGGTAGGTGGATCCCAGGGGTCCCCCCACCATGCGCCCAAAATAATTGAGGGGTCAACTTTGTGCCTCCAGGGGCATAGCCAACACAGTCATATTTTTTGTGATACCGTACCGAGGGAGTGCTGATATCTTATTGGAAGTAGATAGATATATCATGTTTTGATCTTGCTCTGAGTTAACCTTCGAATATTGTTGACCATAGGCTACCGTACTCCGTGAGGTTTCCACCTGTTGAGAATCTAAATATCCACAGTGCCTCGTCAGAAGTGTTCGTGATCGCTTACTAAGCAACCTCGCTAAATGCCACCTCACCAAATACTACCCGGGCTGAGCTGATCGTGACCTTACCTACCATACCTGCCCTCTATTTACACCACAATACTACCGTGACCATGACCCTGTACCACCTCCGAGTCCTCCATTTTAATAATACTGAATTTCCAATGGTTAACCAAACTGGATAGATATCAAAAAAAAAAAAAAGTGAACCCCAAAGACCTCCAGAACAGAAATGTCCAATATTGAAAATGGCATGATCATTGGCTGGCCATGGACAACTATTAAAAGCTTCCTCATTGTGCATTTAAGTGCCAATCACTGGATAATATCCCTCGCCCTGGTTGCACACCAACTTATACACAGTAATAGTGTTGCACCATTATCTGGCAGGCCAATGCAACCTGAAGATGACTGGATCAGACTTCAGAGATCAATATGCGCCGAGTGTTTCTCTCTCCACTGGTAACAACCAACCCCTTGTATCCACCTGAGTAATAGGACATGATTTTCTAACAAATTTATAGTTGATAGAATACTCAGAGAAGGCAATATCAAGAAATGGCTAGCTAAAGCAAGACCAAACCTCAAGTCTGTGCATATTGTTAAAGGACTAGACTGGGCTAAAGCTTATAAGGATTGGACAGCTGAGGATTTTGAGAGTTATTTGGAGTGAGGAGTGTAGTGTGGAGAAATTCAAGAATCCTAGGCAGCAGTAGGTTTTCAGAAAACCTGGAGAGCAGTAGCTTGCAGATTGTGTTCATTCAAAGGAAAAGGACAAGAGAATTTTGCTAATGGTATGGGGGTTCTTTTGGGGGAAGAGAAAAGGCTCTTTGGTTCCTATTATCCAAAATATCAATAAGACCAAGTATGTTAGACACTTGAGAAGACATCTTTTTCCTGTTATTCATCAGATAATTTCCTTTGGTATGAAACTTGAAGATATTCTTTTTCAGCAAGAAAATGCTCCTGTTCACAAGGCTTATAGTGTTTTGGATTGGTTTGAGAGAAATTGTATTGCATTGGTTGAGCACCCCCATTACTCCCCTGATTTAAATCCTATTGAGCATGTATGGGTTGAGCTTAAAAAGCGATTACACCAGCAGTATCCAAGGATTGGAGATACCCCAGTAGGAAAAGAAGCTGTTAAGAAGAGGCTTGCACAAGTACTACCTTTGGTTTAGGAGACAATTTCTCAGGAGTTTTTTGAAAAGTTATAGAAATCAATGCCTGATAGAGTAGCTGCAGTATTGGAAGCAAGGGGAGGTTATACAA